CTTTCCCTTACCCCCTACCTTTCCCTCTCCCCCTTCCTCTCTCTAAAATCAATAAACATATCCTTGAGTGTGGATAAAAAAATAGAACAAGTTGAGAAAGACTTCAACGACAGGTGTAGATTTGTTACCGAGGTTTGAGGCAGAAGTAGTTGGACTGTAGTCTCAGTTAAGCTTCACTCCTTTGTGGGTGGTAGGTGGCACTGAGGTTATGCAGCGTAGGGCAGAGCTGAGAGGGGTGACTGACGGTTGTCACCCGTGGTAGTGGATGGCTAGTGCTGATGCGTTCCCGTAAGCGGGTGTGGGAACTTACCAGGAGCAGGGCCAGGACTAGGCTGGGGCAAGAGATGCACCTGGGATGCAGAGGAGTTGTGGCTTAAGAATTGTGAAAGTCGGCATTTACCCAAGACCCCTGTTGTTGAACTTCATTCAGCAGACAGACAGTATGTAGAATGATGTTGGAAGCTACTGAATTTAGTTCAGCAAAAGTTTCTGCGGACCCACTACATGCAGGGCCGTATGGCAGATACGGAGATTCCTGGGACAGGGGCCCAGTTCTCCAGGGCTCCCCACGCAGGAGGGCAGGTGAGCAGGCAGTGAAGGGAGCCAGGGGGAGCTGCACTGCACCTGGGCCTTCGGGAAAGAGAGGAGTAGCTTCCCTTGGAGGAGACCGTTTCTGGCAAGTGTTCCACATACGTGGTAGCATTTGAGTTGGGCCTTGAAGGATGGGTAGCATTTCTCTTCCTACCCCAGTTAGTGTAATTTTCCCCAATTATAGAGGAAAAAAAAGAAAAGAGTCCAACGCCCAGAGGCAATGACATTTTGCTTTTATTTCTGCCCCTTTCCGTGCATTTTAAACATTTTCCAAAATTTTTTTTCTTTATTAAAATTCCCATTCTGCTTGTTTTGCTCAATACATCATGGACATTTTATAAAGCTGGATATCTTAGTAAAATGTCATTTTGCATGGCCGTGCAAAACTCCCAGGAGGCAAATGATACCCTCATTGGAGGATTTTTTTACATTGTTTCTTGGTTCGTTATAAACGTAAAAAAATCTATTGTGAATATCTTGGTGCTCTTCAGGAACGCAGTGGAGTTTGAGGGAGGTCTGGATTAAAATCCTGTTTCCATTAGTACCTTTGTAATTCCTGCGCACAAATTATTTGAACTCTCCAAGCCTTATCCTCTTATCCTCTTATCCTCTTATCTGTAAGAGGAGGAAAAGCATCAGCTCATTGTGTAACGATGGCTGTTACAGAGAGAGGTCCTTGAGAGCGTCTGCTTCTCCCCTTCTTCCTCCCTCCCTTCTGTCCTTCCTGGTTTTAATTGAACCCAGGAGCAGAATTATCAGCTTAAAAAGTAAAGTTGCTCAGAGCCTTCATTCACATCACCTAGGCTTAAACACGACTCAGATTTTGCAATATTTGCTCCATCTGTTATTTTTTGTTGAAAGAAATTAGACATCATGATACTTTCCTGAAATAATTGATTATAAGCCTCAAAAAAGAGGCAATTTTCATACTTAACTGCAATACCATTACAACAACCTAAAACATTAATACTAATTTACCAGTCTCATCACACACTTAGCTGTGCTCAGATTTCTCCACTTCTGTTTTTTTAGTATGTATGAATCTGGATCCAGAGGAGGTCCATAAGAGGTATTTTATTGTTTTGCTTAATCTGTAGATTCCCACCTTTTTCTTTTTTCTTTGCATTTTATTTGTTTAAAAAGAATAGCTGGGTAGTTTGTCCTGTTAGTTTCCTGTAATATGAATTTTGCTGGTTGTGTTCTCATGGTAGTTTTTAATGTATTTGTCACCTTTATGTTCTATAAATTGATAGTTAAATCTGGAGGCTCGATCAGATTTTATTTTACTAAAAAAATTTTTTCTTTTGCAAAGACGTTTAATAGGTGGTAGTGAGTACTCCCATCAGGAGGCACTTAACATCTTAATGTCTCTCGGAGCCTTTGGTGATCATGTCCCAGATCCTTTGATTCATTAGGGTTGCACAGAACTCTTAATTTAGGACAGTCCCCATCTACTTTTCCCCACATCATTGACTTTAGGAATGAATGGGTAGGATTTCAGTAGGTGGAACAAGGCTGTTGCAGACGGGAGGAGCTGCGTGAGGCATTGCATCAGAAAAGCAGGCTGTGTTCTAGCAAGAACAAACCTTGTTTGACGGGAGCTCTTGTCATGAACACAGGAGTGGGAAGAGCTGACATAAAGGATGTGTCTGGGGAGCGCGGCCTTTTATCAGCTATCGCTGAAGAACCTGTGAAGGTTCTGGAGGGCAGATCATCTATGTGGACAGTGTGGTGCGTGGGAACCACTGTGGCAGCCAGGAGTAGGGACTTGTTGAACTTGGCTTTAGGATATGGTGGGGTGGAGATGGGCCTTGCTGGCGTGAGATAGACAAGCATGGCTTCGCCTTGTGGGCAGAGTCGAGGAGAAGAAGGTGCTATATCAAGATGTTAAGCCTCAGAAACCAGGAGTGGCCTTGCTCTCAGAAAGGAAAGAAGGGCAGAAGGTGTGGGATGGGATTTACAGAGCAGGAGCTAGCTTTTCTTTTCAGCACTTTCAGCTTGTGGGGTCTGTGGAACCCCAGCTAGACAGGTTCCAATGGCAAGTGGGATCTGCAGGTTGGAGGAGAAGTTGGAGCTAGAGTTTGGCATCACTGATGGAGATACGGTGGTAGGACTTGGTGAGGGCTGTACTTAGAGGAAAGGGAGCGCTGGACTGCTGGGGCATTGCGGATTTCAGGGAAGGAGGTTGGAGGTGAAGGAAGATGAGGTTTGACAGAAAGCTGTTGGCTTTTCAGTTCAGGAGATGGGTCCTGGATCCTTAGGGACTCCCTTCCATTGGGCTGTGAGGAGTAAAACGGGGGAGAGCCAACATCCTGGGGTGGAGAGTGGAAGGGTGGAAAGGTTTGGAATTGTTTATGAGTGTGGGAAGGGTTTTTGTTTTGAACGTAACGGGAGATTGGGACGTTGTTGGAAACAGTGTGGGGGAAACAGAATCCATACAGAAGGAGAAATTGGAAATGCAAGAGGAAGGGGATGGTAAGGGGCGACTCGCCGCCTCTGTGTTTTCACTGAATCTCTTCATAGCACATGCAGCCTTAAAAGTCATGCCTTCCGCTATAATATAAAAAGCAATCTGTTAGTCTCTTCCTGCCTTTATTTCCTCATCTCTAACATGGTTTATAACCTATTTGGAAACAGGATGCATCTGGATGGACACTGTTGAAAGTTTTTAATCATCTACATTAGCAGCTATCAGAAAACACATTTAGGAGAATGTAGTGTTTTTCATAATGTGTATTTTTTCCTCCACAAATACCTGTTTTCCCCCCAAAATTCAGCACTTCACAGTTTTCAGGTTGATAGAAATGAAAATAATTCACATGTGCAGAAGTCACTGTTGTTGGAGTAAGCAGCCATTAGCATCTTTTCCAAAGAAACTGGCTCAGACAAAGGCATAGAGTCCACAGGAGACATGGAGTCCTACAGACATGGCAGGGGAGGGGAAATGGGTAGCATGGCTTCTCCATGAAACGGTTAGTCAGGGATGCATTGGTGGGACCAGTTGAATGTCCACCATGTGCCCAGACATAGCAAGTCCCCTCATACGTCTTAACTTTCTTCCCCCAAGAAAGCTGTTCCAGCCAAGCCTAGAATTCTAAGTGTTTCTGATCATGAGCTGTTGCTATGCATGACCCAATTTTTCTTTCCTTCCTGTTATGAGGCCTTGCCCTTTGGCCCACCCAGGTTTATCCCCAGAGGTGATTATCCTGAGGGTCCTGTGGTGGCTCTGCTCTATCTGTCCATTTGTGCATTCATCCATCTGTCTATCCAAGAAGTACATATTTGAGTACTTACTAAGTGTTGGGCATTTGCTAGATACAGTGACTGTACCTGTGACTCAGACAAGACTCTTGGTTTCATGGAGTTTCCAATTATAAGGTGATGATAGAGTGATGGATGAGGGACAGAGAGTGGATGTCACAGGGCTTTCCCCTGGATCACTCTACAGAGACAGGGGAATCCAGAGGAAGCCCTTAAAATGACTTGAACAAACAGCTTTGGCCACCTTTTGTAAAGAGGCAGTGTCCCACTGTTTTGTGTGGTGGTGCTGAAGTGCCAGGGTTTCGGGGTTTGTCTGGTGATCTTCTTACCCGAGGGCCATGGTGCAGTGGAATAGGGTCTTTTGTCACAAGTCTTCATGTTTCTGACCCTAGGAATGGGCACGCTCTCCTGGCATTCATGTTCTCTCGACAAGAGGGCAAGCTGAACCGGCAGCAGACCATGGAGCTTGGGCACCACATCCTGAAGGCACACATTTTCAAGGTGAGATACACCACCATGAGGACGGGTCTCATTGTCGTTGTCATTGTTTTTTGAGTTTTTGGTTTTGGAGATTGTCGACAGCTTTATCAGGCCTCTCAGAGCCCTCCATGAGCCCCATTCCAACACAGCCCCCTGCCTTCTCCCTGAACATTCTGACTTACAGTCCCTCAAGTGTGTATCTCAATGCTAGGGTCATGTTTTGCTTTCTCCCCCTTTAAGTCCCTTTTAAGTTTCTTTCCACCTGAAGTTTTCATTTCATTCAATCCCTTTTGTTTCCCTGTTATTTAGTTGTCAAAGAACATGAGTTACTTAACCTCTATTTGTTTGTTTGTTTTTGTAGTCAGTTTATTTTACCAAATTTAGGTTCAAGTTCAAACTTGACTTCTAGTTTTGCACCACCTGGATTTTCTGATCTTATTTCTCATGATGTAGTTCACGATCCTCTGTATTTCTATCATTTGGTACTTGTATCTAGAAGCTTAATCAGATTCAGATTTGATTCCCCCCCCCCCACAGGGTGTCATGATTGCTTCCTAGCTGTACTTGGAGTTTAAACTCCGTATAACTCTGTATGGGGTTTGCTGCATCAGGAGGCACAGCATCTGTGGTTGCTTCTCTGGTGTGATGCCATCAGCCAGTGCAGGTCTCTGCCTGGACTCATTCATTCATTGTGGGTTACAGAATGGTGATATTTTATCATTTATTCTTCCTTTGACTGGAGAACTTCTATAAAAGAAGAAACTTCCTTCGCATCTTCCATCTCTTTACCCAGGCCTACAGTTCAAGTGGCAAAGGCAGCTAGTTCCTTGCCCTTTGGTTTTCAGGAGTGAAGGCTCACAGGCTCGGGCATTCTTTGTCACAGCTCTCACCATGTCAGCTTGTATCCGCACCCTCTGGGGCATACCCACTTTCAGCCCAGCGCTGCGGGTGGGAAAGGAGAGGCTGAGGCCGGTTTGTCTCTGATTGCTTCCAGGGCCTCAGTAAGAAGACCGGAATCTCCTCAAGCCATCTGCAAGCCCTGTGGATCGGGTACAGCACTGAGGGGCTGTCTGCTGCCCTCGCCTCTCTCAGGAATCTCTACACACCCAACGTGAAGGTGAGCGAGCCTCCCCTCTGCGCGGGGAAGCAGGGTCCCCAGCCCCGATGCCAGCTGCCATTTCCCCAACAGCCCTGCCCTCCCTCC